TGATGCTCCAGTTGTAGGAATCTTTAACAGCCATGTTTTTGAAGTCCTCAGTTTTTATAACATAGCAGTATAACCAAGCGACGCAAAGTGACCTTTTCCCTACAAGAACATTTCGAATAAGTGGACCATGCAGGCAGTGTTCAAGGTTTTGATATTTTTCAAGCCTAATCCACCTTTAGATTTAGGGCAACAAATTCGGGTCCAGCTGACTCTGGATCCTGAACCAGACTGGTTCGTTCCTTTCCAAAGGAACCTGGAACAGAGTTGGTTAATACGATTAATAATAGATTGAGGGAGGTTGAATTGCCTGCACCAGTAATTGGCCATACTATACAGGACCGTTTTAACTAATTAAAGTCTTCTAGCATAGCTTAGGAGTTTGCTTGACCAATGGTGGAGTCTAAGCTTGATTCTGTCGATAAGAGGCTGGCAATCATGTTCAGTTAGCTTTTTAGTGACTAATGGAACCCCCAAATATCTTACAGGAAGAAGACCTTGTTTGAAACCAGAAATGTATTTGATAATTTGAAGATTCCGAGAAGAAATGCCAGCAGCAAAGAGTTCAGTCTTGCTTATATTGAGCTTAAGACCAGACATGTGGAAGAAGTGATTTAATACAGAGATAATCCTAGTTATTGAATCAGGGTTTCCTTTACAAAAAATTAAAAGATCATCTGCAAAAGAGAGGTGAGTAAGGCCTAACTTTTTGCATTTAGGATGGTACCTAAAGATTCCTTTGGTGGCAGCAAGATTAAGAGTTTTAGAAAGGATGTTCATAGCCAACATAAAGATGATCAGGGACAAAGGATCTCCTTGTCTAATTTATCTCTGGCCTGTGAAATAACCAACCATACTACTATTGAGGGAAATTGAATATATTGCTTCAGAAAAACAAGCTTGTATCTACCTTATAAAGGTACTTGGCAGCCCAATAGAGAAGAGTAAAGTAGAGATAAATTCCCAATTAAGAGAATTAAAAGCTTTTTGAAGGTCAATTTTGAGAGCACACCTTGGAGAAATATGTTCCTACCGTAACCTCTAACTAACTCTTGAGCAAGAAGAGTATTATCAATAATAGATCTTCTTTTAACAAAAGCAGACTGGTTGGGAGTAATAATTTCTGGCAGCAGCATGGTTAACAAGGATTTTGGTGATAATCTTATAAAGCACTAAGCAACAAGAAATTGGCCTATAATCCTTAACAGTACTTGGGTTCTGAACTTTAGGAATCAAAGATATAATAGTGGCATTGAAGGCAGGTAAGATGAAGACTTCTTGAAAGAAAAATCTGATGGCTTTGATAACATCTTCGCCTATCACATGCCAAGGTTTTTTGAGAAAAAGAGGGGTAAATCCATCTGGACCAGGGCCTTGTCATTACCTTGATTAAAGAGAGCATATTTGATTTCCTCAATAGAGACTGGTTTGACAAGTTTAGAAGAAAAAGCAGCAGGCAAATCAAAGTGAAGCATATTTTTTAAGAGTCGAACATCAGTCTGTTGAACATTTGGATCAATTGTACCAAGTTATAATTTGAAGAACTCAAGTACTTCTGATGCCATATCATCATAAGATTCCAGTCTTTTACCTTGGGAATTAATGAGTACCCGAATGGTATCTCGTTTGTTTTTGGTTGCAACGACCGAGTGAAAGAACTTGCTGCATTTATCCCCCTCTTTGAGCCATCTAATTTTAGCTTTCTGCCTAAAGAATTGATTTTCAGCCTCTTCGAGGTTAGCAAGCTCATTTTGAACATTGAGTTCATTAACAATTGAGCAGGATCTTTTGAGAGATTAGATCTGAAAATGATCAAACTCAGCTCTCTTAAGATTTACTCTATCAGAAATGTTACTGTAGGAATTCCTGTTTAGAGATTTCAAACAAGGATTTAATCATTTTAACTTGAGGAACAAAGCCTGCATTGGGTTGCCTTGAACAGGTTGCTGTCAAGAAAGGGTAACTATATCAAGAAAGGAAGGGTGAGAAGACAAGAAATTGAAGAACTTGAAAGGTTTGGGTATGTTTGTCTGGGTCTCTTTGTTAAGCCAGACTACTGCCATGTAGTGATCAGAGATACCAGGGGCACATAATTCAACAAATTATCCATGAAAGGCAGAGGCCCAAAAGAAGTTGATTAAAATTCTATCGAGTTTCCTTGCTAGGAAAATATCTTTTTGCTTGTTACTCCATGTAAAAGTGGGTCCAAAAAATGGGTGATCTTGTAGAAGAGGTCATGAGTCAGTTCTTGGAAGTCCTTCATTTCAGAAGAAAGGTAAGGGCCAATAAGATCTGAATCTGAGCTTTCAGAGTAGTGGAGGTATATGTTAAAATCCCCTCCAAGAATCCAAGGAATAGAGTTGAATTGATGGTCAAGATTCATAAGATGTTGCCATAACTGTCTTCTGTTAGTGCCATTGTTACTGCCATAAATGATAGTGATAATAAAAGGAATACTGTTGTATTTACACTTGACAATGATACTTTGGTCAGAAGAATTGATGAGATAAATATCGATTCATTTTCTCCAAAGCAACCAGAGTCTTCCATTAGAGGCAAAATCATAATTTGTTAACACATTCCAGCTTTCAAATTTTGAATGCAGAATTTTATCAGAATTCTTAGCTTTTATACGGGTCTTCATCAAACAAAGAATATCAACTTTGTAAAGATTGGCTCTTTGAATAACTTTTATTTGCTTTTGAGGATTATTTAATCCTCTAGTGTTCCAAAAGAAAATTATCATTGAGAAGGGTTTTTTGAAGTTCCTCCTTTTTCTACAGAAAAACTAGAAATAGCAAGTTGCTCTTTCCTTTTAGCCTTTAAATCTTTAAGGAGATTAGCAACTCCAGAGGCAGCAAGCCTTGTTTTCTTAGTAGGGACTTCAACATTAGGAGAGCTTTCATCAATTGAATTCAGTATTTCAAATCTGTTAGCTGATCCTTTTAGAGAAACTTTAGATTTAGCTTTTAAGGGTCTACCTCTACCTCTTTTAGGCAATAAAGAAGACTCATGTACTTTGATTGAAGATGATGAAGGCTTTGAGAAAGTCTATAGTTTAGCAGGTTCACCAGTTTGGGAAACTGGAGAATTTCTATCAGCATGAGTCAAGACAGTGAAGTTTGATTGTTCATCCCTGGAAGGTTGTTCAGTTTGAGTAGTAGGAAGACTAACTGGAACTGTTCCTGGGAGAGGATCAGTAGTTTCAGAGAGATCTGTGGCATGAGGAGAGCCTGGTTGATGATTTTGTAAGTCTACAGATATTTCATTAGGCTTTGAATCATTAATTATGTTAACATCAGTCTTTTTCCTCTATATTTTCTTAGGAGCTGAAGAATGTTGATTTGGGCAGTTTTTATCAGAGTGTCCAAATTTCACACACATATTACATCTGGATGGGAACCAAGGAACTTCAACTTGAATATGTGTGTTTTGACCATTTGCAAGAATGACTTCAACAGATTCAGGAATTTCCAGTTTAGCACCAATTTCAACACAAACTTTAGCAAAATGCAGTCTAGATTTAGTAGCTGTGGTAGAGTCCATAGAGATTGGATTTCCTAGAGCACTTGCAATATAGCTAAGACCATCTTGAGAATACAATTCAAGTGGAACGTTGTAAAGATGAATCCATAAAGGCAATCGACCTAAATCAAAGTCAAGCCTATGCATATTAGGTTCCCAAATTCTTAAGATTAAAGGCTTGTTAAAGATGTGCCAGGGTCCATTTTCGAGGACCCAATCTCAAGCAGAGTCAGTATTGAAGGAAAAAATGTATAGATTATTTCCAGCATGACTGATCTGAACTCGTGCTCCTTTCGTTGGGTGGTTCCAAAGGGTTTCGATGATTCTCTGCAGAGCTATGAAATTTGGTGGCGCCCCAAGGAATTGACCAACCAATGATGATTTCCAGGCTGCTGTTCCGGCTTCGAAGACCTCAGGTGGTGGGCAGACGATCGGAATGCTTTCAGTCAATTTTGGGGGAAAATAGGACAGTTTTTTATTCTCTTGACATCTGAACAATTTCCTCCACTCCATCTCATAATACAAGAATCTGGGCAAAAGAAAAGGAATAACTTGAAGAGTCGAATCGTTGGACAAAGGCGAGAACACCGACAACGGAAAGGATCTCATGCTCCATTAGACCCGTTAACGTGCACGCAGAGAGAATCGCAAACGTGCGCCATAAATATTCTTTCTTAGCATTTTATGTCTGCAAACTTATTTAGTTATTTTCAATATTTTTTATAATTGTTTATTCACGGGGTTTCATCTTTACAATTTTTTTAATCCATACATGTTATTAATAAATTAACATTTTAGTTATCATTAATAATTTAATTTTGAGAACTAATTAAGATCCATTATATATAAGATCAAAATTGAGTTATTATATTTAATGACATTAGAGTTTATGTGTAGTTGATCCTAAGACTAATTAGTTAGTTGTAGTAAGATGCCAATGAATGTGTATGCCTTTAGGTTATAGGCGTACTCATCTAAAGTTCAAATTTTGATATCGTTTACGTTGATGGTGAGAGAGGTGAGTCACCTCTCTTAATTATCATTGGTAGGAATGACCTTATCCTAATGATTGGAGGGTTCGTGTTACAAGTTTTAAATTTAATACTTTGGGTGGATAAGATTTACATATGATGTTCAATTGGGAATCAAAATCAATCGATTTAATTAATATTTGAAATTGGACCTATCATTTATTTAATTAAAATTGTCTGAATCAAATTTATATATTTAATGGATTCAAATATTTGTTTTTCTTTTTATAAGAATATAAATTATTTTGCTATTTTGTTAATAATAAAATGGATCATTCGGACGAATCGGTCCAATTCAAATGAGTGTGAGTGAGTTATTTTAAAATATTTTGGGCCTCGATCAATCAAATCAAAGAATACTTCCAGGCCGGAGACAGATCCGAGTCGGTTTAATTCTAACCCGCTTCGTCCTTTTGCCTATACCGTAAAAATAAAACCATAAGCAGAAAACCTAGAGTACCTTTTTCTCTTGTATGTAAACAGAAGCTGGTTGATTCTTCTCTGATTACAAGCTTCAGTTGGCAGCTGTTGTACTTTCTTCCGGTAAACCTCTCTTATTCTCCGATTCGTTGTTCCTGTTTCTCGTTTTAGTTGCCGTTTATTTTGTCTTCAAAAACCGATAACCCCTCCGTCGAGATCGGCCACCACTGACGTTATTTCCGGCTTCTAATTTTTATTCATTTGATATTATTTCGTGTACGATACCACTTTTTATATATAAATATATCCGATCTGCTTGAGGAAGGAAAGGATCGGATTAGTGCTTTTTTGTTTAGTTTAATATTGATTATTGGCTCATATAGGAATAGCGTTATAAGGCGTTGGAATGACTGGGGGGTCTGCCTTTGATGCCCTTGTTAGCGATGATGACGGCGAGGTCGTCGACCGTAAGGGAGTGAATGATGAAAATGATGATGATATTCTTGGTAAATCTTTGAAAGGTAAAAAGAAGAAATCGAAAGGGGGAAAGAAGGGTGGGAATCGGTTCGCAGCAGGTGCACTGGATGAACTCGATGACGAGTATAGTGAGAAAGTTGATGAGTTGAAAGCTGAGGAAAACGTTCCTTCAATTTCTTTCTCGGATAAGAAAAAGAAATCATCTAAAAAGAAAAAGGGAAACATGTTTGGAGGGTCAGATTTTGATGCAATAGCTGCTGAAGACGATGATGGGCAGGTGGTTGATGATTATGACAAGGAGGAGAGTAAAGTCGAGGATGATGAATATGCTTTTACAGGGAAAAAGAAGTCCAATGGTGGAAAGAAGGGTGGTGGAAGTAGGTTCACTGCCACCGCACTTGATGAATTTGAAAACGAAGGTGTGAAAGAAGATGAGGAAGAAGATGCTCCTTCATTCTCTTTATTTGATAAGAAAAAGAAAAAATCGAAGTCTTCTAAGAAGAGTGGTAATTCCTTCAGTGCAGCATTGCTTGATGAAGAAGATGAAGGAGATGCATCTGTACCCGAATCCACTGGTGCTGCTGTTGATGATGACGAAGATGATTCTTCCATGGTTGCATTTTCAGGAAAGAAGTCATCTAAGAAGAATAACACTGCTTTATTTGCGGCCTTGGGTGATGAGCTTGAAGACGAAGAGGGTGTGAAAGAAGATGAGGAAGAAGATTCTCCTTCATTTGGATTTTCAGGTAAGAAGAAATCATCTAAGAAGAAAAACATAGTTGCATTTGCAGCCTTAGAAGGCGAGCTTGAAAATGAAGAGGGTGTAAAAGAAGATGAGGAAGAATATGTCCCTTCATTGTCTTTATCAGATAAGAAAAAGAAAAAATCAAAGGCTTCTAAGAAGATTGGAAATTCCTTCAGTGCAGCATTGCTTGATGAAGAGGATGCCCCTGTACACGAATCCACCACTGCTTCTGTTGATGATAACGATGATGATTCTTCCATGATTGCATTTTCTGGTAAGAAGAAGAAGTCATCTAAGAAAAAAAGCAGTGCTGCATATGCAGCCTTGGGTGATGAGGCAGAGCTGCAAAGTGAAGTTTCAAATGTGGTGGAAACTGTACAGTTGAGTTTAGGAACCAGTAATGTTGAAGCTGGTGATTCTAAAACTAACAACAAGAGTGAAGACGCGGCTGAAACTTCAAAGAACAAGAAGAAGAATAAGAAGAAGAATAAGAGTGAAAGGACTGCTCAAGAGGAGGAAGATTTGGATAAAATTCTCGCTGAACTTGATGAGGGGCCTCCTACAGCAAAACCCACAGAGGCAGCCACTCCCCAAGAGGAGAAAGCTCAAGTACTGCAGGAGCCGAATACTGCTGCTTATGTCACAGGTGAGGAAGAACCTGTGGAATCGGCTGCTGCAAAGAAAAGGAAAAAGAAGAAGGAAAAGGAAAAGGAGAAAAAGGCTGCTGCTGCTGCCACAGCTGATGTTAAGGAAGAAATTCAAGAGGAAAGAAAAATGGAGACCTCTGATACCAAAAAGAAAGATGCTAAATCTAAAGCTGCTGACAAGAAACTACCAAAGCATGTTAGGGAGATGCAGGAGGCACTTGCTAGGAGAAAAGAAGCTGAAGAGAGGAAAAAAAAGGAAGAAGAGGACAGATTGAGGAAGGAAGAGGAAGAGAGACATCGACAAGAAGAGCTTGAGCGACAAGCAGAGGAGGCTAAACGTAGGAAAAAGGAAAAAGAAAAGGAGAAGCTCTTAAAGAAGAAGCAAGAAGGTAAATTATTGACTGGCAAGCAAAAGGAAGAAGCTCGCCGCCTTGAGGCAATGAGGAACCAGATATTGGCCAATGCAGGAGGCTTGTCTTTGCCTAGTGCAGACATAGAGGGTGCACCTACTAAACGACCTATATATAAAACAAAAAAGTCTAAGCCAGCTCATCATGCTAATGGTGCTGCTTCTGCTAAACCCGAGGAAAATGTACAATCAAATGCAAAATCAGTAGACGAGCCGCAAACTAAGGTCGAGGTGGAGTCTGTAGATGATAAGGGTGATGAAGTAGAATCAAATAACGCAGAAGAGAGATCTGTAGTTGCAGATGCTGAAGGGAATGGAATGGAAGAAGAGGATGATGATGATGGTGAATGGGATGAAAAAAGTTGGGATGATGTCAATCTTAATATCAAGGGTGCCTTTGATGATGAGGAGGCCGATTCTAAGTCCAAGCCTGCAGTGCAGAAAGATATAAAGCGTGCCCTGCCAGCTTCTCACAGTACAGGTGATGGTTACTACCTGCATTGCTTGTTGAATTTTGTTGCCTTCTGATGATCGTTAATTTGTTTTTTTATCATGTTTCACAGGTCCTCCCACAGTGGCCAAGCCAGTGGTCGATTCTAAGAAACAGTCGGCTTCTGAATCAAATACATCTCATCCCGAGATTAATGCTCCAGAAAAGAACTTGAAAAAAAGTAATGCTGTACAAAATAAAGCATCCAAGTCAGATGCTCCTAAGCAGAGTGAAGAGCTCCGGTCCCCGATTTGCTGCATTATGGGTCATGTTGATACTGGTAAAACAAAGCTGCTGGATTGCATCCGTGGCACTAATGTCCAGGAAGGGGAGGCTGGTGGTATTACACAACAGATTGGCGCGACATATTTCCCTGCTAGTAACATACGAGAGAGAACCAAGGAATTGAAGGCTGATGCCACATTGAAGGTTCCAGGCTTATTAATAATTGATACCCCTGGTCATGAATCCTTTACAAATCTTCGCTCAAGGGGATCAGGTTTATGTGATATTGCTATTTTGGTTGTTGACATTATGCACGGTTTAGAGCCACAGACGATTGAATCACTCAATCTTTTGAAAATGAGGAAAACTGAATTCATTGTTGCATTGAATAAGGTCAAGCTGGATAAACTTCTGATTACTTGTTTACTTGTTTTCCTTACCTTTCTTTGATGCTTTGTTTATTTATTTATTTATCATTTTGCTCTCCTTTAAAAAATTGCAGGTGGACAGACTTTATGACTGGAAAGTTCGTCGCAATTCACCAATTGGGATGGCACTTAAGAAACAATCTAAAGACGTTCTATCTGAATTCAATAGGAGAGTTACACACGTAAACACCTAACAACTCTTGTCATCTAATTCTATTTTTATCAGAATTTTGTGACAGTTTGTGAAATGCATGTTATCCTTTTATTTGAAGGTTATAACTCAGTTCAAGGAGCAAGGGTTGAATACTGAATTGTACTATAAAAATAAGGAAATGGGTGAAACGTTCAGCATTGTGCCTACAAGTGCAGTCACGTTAGTCATGGATGCTCTACAAGTTCCAATTCTACATGGTAATTGAATTTTGGGTTCTGACCTAATTTTTTTCTGTTATTGACGTTGCAGTGGAGAAGGGATTCCAGATTTGTTGTTATTACTTGTCCAATGGACCCAGAAAACAATGGTTGAGAAGCTTACATTCAGTGATGAAGTGGAGGTTTGTATTATTCCTTTTTTCCAGTTTAAAAATAATTCACCATTCCATCCTTGTGCAGTGTGAGACATTATGGAAATTGTATTTTGTGCCAGTGTACGGTTTTGGAGGTTAAGGTTGTTGAAGGCCTTGGGACAACTATTGATGTTGTTTTGGTTAATGGTGTTCTTCATGAAGGAGATCAAATTGTGGTTTGTGGCTTGCAGGTAAGCTTTAAGTTTCTCATTAAACTGAAAATTTCGGGATTGCTTGATGTTAAATTTTCAAGTACTTATTTCCTATTTCAGGGGCCTATTGTCACCAATATAAGAGCCTTGTTGACACCTCAGCCTATGAAGGAAATCCGGGTGAAGGTATGGTTTTCTGGTGGGTTTTTTCTTGTATCTATTTAAAACGCTCTGCCTGGAAATGCTGGTTATATTGGAAGCTATTTAATGTTGGAAGATGTGATGGAATTCTCTTACATTGGTATCCTATGTATTCCTCTTTAATGATGTTAATATGACTTGATAAAGTCCTTTATTTTCTCTTAGTATGAATGAATATTACCATAAGGCTAGGAAACAACTTCGTTGGTAACTGTAATTTTTATGGTGCATTAACTCATTGATATGCTGATGCCAGGCAATTGCTTATCTGATAAGTTTTATAGTATTCAAATTTTTAATATATTGGGATAAACTTTGAACTATTCCAGTCTTGTGGATTTTTTCTCAATGAGGCCTAGTTTTTTTTTTTGGAAAATGATGGAAGGTGTGGCATGATGAATTTTTGGTTGGATGATTGTAGGGAGTGTATATGCAGCACAAGGAGATCAAAGCGGCACAGGGTATCAAGATTGCTGCACAGGTGATTGGAACTTAATCTCCTGTTACATCTGATAACTGCGCAAATAAATTATGACTTAATCTCCTGTTATATCATTATGCAGGGCCTTGAGCATGCTATTGCTGGCACTAGCATCTATGTTGTTGGTCCTGATGATGATGTGGAAGATATCAAAGAAGCAGTCAAGGATGATATGCAGTCGGTCATGAGTAGGATTGACAAAAGTGGGGAAGGGGTCTATGTACAAGCATCTACCCTTGGCTCTTTGGAAGCATTGCTGGAATTTCTGAAAACTCCAGAAGTAAATATTCCTGTTAGTGGTATAGGCATAGGCCCTGTACACAAAAAAGACATAATGAAGGCCAGTGTTATGCTGGAAAGGAAGAAGGAGTATGCTACCATATTGGCTTTTGATGTCAAGGTGACCCCGGAGGCTAGAGAACTAGCAGATGAACTTGGTGTGAGGATCTTTTTGGCTGATATCATTTACCACTTATTTGACCAATTCAAAGCTTATATTGATGGTCTCAAAGAGGAGAGGAAAAGAGAAGCAGCGGATGAAGCTGTCTTCCCTTGTGTTCTGAAGATTTTACCTAACTGCATTTTTAACAAGAAGGATCCAATTGTCTTGGGGGTTGATATCCTTGAAGGCATTTTAAGGGTACAGCTATTATCATCTTATTAAGTAAATGCTTTTCTAATTAATTGTTTAAGTTTGGTTGCTAATTCTGATTACAGCACAAATTTTTAAGAAGTTTTTGGATAAGTTCCTAAACCATCTCTATAATCTATACCCTTGAGCCTGCATTCTAGCTAGAGCATTTATATAGGGAAGTAATACTCAATCTTAACCATCTCTATCAAATAATTTCACATATCTCTGCATTCTAGCCCTTTGAATGTGTGTGAAGTATAACCAAAACTTTCGGAGATAGTAGGATGTAAATCTAATGTCCAATAGGCAAAATTTTCGGAGATAAGTTTTCTAATGTGTGTATTAGCCATGAGTCAAACTATTCTTGGTGAGGATACTTGAGTGGTTGGCCTGGCATTTACTACGCAAATTTGATCTGAAGCAACTGATCTAAACAAGCAGAAATCTGAGGAAGATCTATCATATGAACTTTTGTTGTTAAATTCAGTATTATTATTAATCCATAGTGTTCACAGGTTGCAGTTCTCTAATACTATCTTTATTCTGCAGATTGGCACTCCGATTTGTATTCCTCAAAGAGAATTCATTGACATTGGTCGAATAGCTTCAATTGAAAATAACCATAAACCTGTTGATTCTGCCAAGAAAGGCCAGAAGGTGGCCATTAAGGTATGATATCTTCTTTCTTGTACTGCTAAATATTTTATTATCTTTTAAATATAAGGTTTCCTGATCTTCATTTGATCAAGTGGATGAGTTATTGACAATACGAAAACGTCTCTAATCTCATGTCCATTTTTCTCCTTAGTATTGAAAATGATGCAATAAAATTCTGACTATGTCTTAATATTTAGTTGAGAATTTTTTCTGAAGAATATTTTCCCTGTTATGGCTCCCAAGTATGGAGGAAAATCTCATTCTTGACTTCATTGAGTTTGCCTCAAGCCACTGAGGTACCAGTTATAAGTAGCTGATTCACCCATATTAGGTTTGATTAAACAGTATATATTACTCTTATTCATGAATTGCTAATCCCATACATGTAAACTGGCACTAGAATTTCTTGACTCCACAAGCAGAGTTAAAAAAGTACAGCACGCCTCATTCTTTTAGTACTTCGCTTGCGGAGCTAAAAAAACTATGCTAACGTTCTGTTGTACCAACATATCTTCATCTTAAAGGCAATTCATAAAAAGTTCAACTGTACTCTTGTGGATAAGATGGACATCATAAATTGTGGCAAATCCTACTCCATGGAATTTAGAGTTCTCTTTTTAAAATCCCAGTCTAGCATATTAGGATATTGATAATCGATTTGGTGTTTGATATTTGATTTGATTGTATGGTTTCTCTTTAATCTATTTAATCTTTATAATAAGGTTTGATTCAAGCACAGACCTTAAATTAACTATGCATCGGTTTGAATTGTCAGGAGGGTGTTACAGAACATGATATTTTAGTTTTTCATTAAACTATTTATACGATTTTTTGTATTCAACATGTACTACTAATTTTTTGCACCAATCCTTTTCACATCGGAAAACAATTAGGGCAAATATTGAGTTCATAGTTTGCGGAGTGAGGAAGATAAAAGACATGATGAGAAATCCTTCTTCCGCTAGGCTCTTATTAACATAGTTTAATGTTTTTATGTTTGTCTTATTGCAGATAGTTGGATCTAATCCCGAGGAGCAACAGAAAATGTATGGGAGGCACTTTGAGCTTGAAGATGAGCTTGTTAGTCATATTTCTAGGAGATCAATCGATATTCTCAAAGCTAATTATAGGGTAAGTTTGTGTATTTGAAGCTACATAATCGGAGTTTTATCGGCTTGGATCGTCTAATTTATAACTCAAAAAAATTCTTTAGGATGATCTGACCCTTGATGAGTGGAGGCTGGTTCAAAGACTGAAGATCCTTTTCAAAATTCCATGAGCATCAAGACCGGAGCTGTTGCAGGTAAGTTGTAAAGTTCGGAGGTTTTGATTGGCTTGAGAGAAGGAAGAAAATGGCTTAACACTGAAAATACTGTATAGTTGCAGTTTTTGATGTTGAGTTACCGGCCTGAGTTTTGGAGGAGGAAAGCCCTTGTGATACTACATCTTCTCCTACCAAGTCGTCTGGTTCAGACTAGACATTGAAATGCCTACGACATATAATAATCCCAGTAAACTTAGTTGGCCTCTTGTTTTGTTTATAAATAATTTCTATTTTGATTTTTTGTCTGAGATGGGGATGGGTAATAAAGGAAGAGCCTAAACGGTCTGCTTTGAATTCAAGATATGCGTTCGTGTTCTTGTAATCTCAGGTTTTCGTTTACTTCTTTAGTCTTTTCTTTTTCTTCTTTAGTTTTTTCTTTTTCATAACTTTTTTTAAGATAGTTTTTTATTTTATATATCTAAAAAAACATTAGATCACTGAAGGTATTGATTGATATTTTTAAGTATTGATTGATATTTTTAACATGTTATCAAGTATGATCATAGTCGTATTTTAATTGGGCGCGGTTTCATTCTCCTACCTTTATAAAGCCATTAGTCGGTCTAAATTATTAATCATAACACAAAATAACCAAAATTATTATAGGTTTAAGTATACAGAGTTGAGTCTCTTAGATTATTAAAAGTTATAAAATGATCTTTAGATTATAGAATATTTCTTTTTTGATCCTTCTATTATAAAAAATTATAATATGTTCATCTAACTATTTGTATAGTAATTTTTTGTAATTTTTAATAGTTATGTGATTCAATAAAACAATTTATAATTGAATAAATATTTTGTAACTTTTAATAGTTAGATGATTCAACAAAATAATATCTTATAATTGGGAAATTATTTGTGTATTTAACTTGATAGTATATGTATATCATATATATAGTTATTATTTAATACAGATCGGACTTATTTTAATTTGAATCATAAAATTTTAAACTCTGAATGATCTATAAATTCTAAAATTAATAAACTAAAGTTTACTCTACCTAAATATTATATTATTATATATGTTTGATAATTGATCATTGACTGAGGTGCATCCCATGGCTGACGGCAGAGCATTTCCAATATGGGAAATTGATTGATTAACTGCTTGAAAAGGCAGGCATCTTTTCTTACTGTTCTCCGTTTACATATCATCTCTGTCGTCATATCCGAACATAATCATGATTAATCGTACGAATAGATCTAAGCTTCGGTCCCACATATTTAATTAATTGCTGCCCATGCAAAACAAAACGACATCTTAGATTTTTCATATTATGAGATCCAGGTTTACTGTTTTTGTACTTCTCTTTTTGTGTGGATTGGGTCTGATTAGTATTATATGGTCAAAACCGGTCCCCGTACATTTCAAAATGTTTAATTTCAGTCCAAACTCTAAAAGTTGACGGCTTGTTTAATGTCATCTAAGATCGTTTTTCTTTGAGATAAAGTTAAGATATTGCGAGGGATCAAATTGTCTACACTTTTTTTAGATGACCTATTAAATATTTAAATATGGGAATAGTGGATTCAGTTTAATTCGACGAAATTTAAGCTTATAGGGATCTGCATTGCAAAAAGTTAGGAGAGATGTTTCTCAAGCTCCATGCAGTTCCGTCACGTATAATTAACAAAAAAATTTCATCGTATTCAAGTTAACAGATTCATTAGCTTTTGGATCGAAATGGAGCATTTTGAAAAGTATAAGGACTATTAATTTTTACGAAACAATACTAGAGTGACTAAATCCAAACATATTGAGTAGAAGAAACTTATATTAGTAAAACTTATCTACTTTTATTCCGGTTCGTATCAGATTTCAATATATATGTTGTGTGAGATGATATGATTTATATATAATGTGGGATGTTTATCGACCAAAAACATTATGATATATTTTCAATTTTTATCACTATTTATATTAATCTCAACTTAGACTATTATCGCCCGTTCAACTCTCTGACAAGCAACAAACACAACGAGACCGAAAAACATATACCCGCAACCATAATGATATAACAAGAAACACGCGAACCATTGATGGTCAAAGAAGCAAAGATGGAAGCAAGCAACCTACCAAAGTAAGTAAAAGAAGCAACGTTTCGTTAACGTATAGATCAAGCCGAATCAAAACAAATCGAGTATTCATGTATATGTTTTGAGAGGAATGAAGCCTGGTCCGAAGCTTAATCCGAAACCGAAGCCTTGTTGTTTAAGCTTCGAGCCAGCCAACACACCCCTCAAAGTCTACCATTTTGTTTCTTCGACACTCTTCAATGGCCTACACAACAACACGCACACTCTTATTTATAAGCAATTTTCTCATAGCAGAGCTAGGGTTTTGAATAATAAATTCAATCATAATTGAAATTAATTTTTTAATACTAAAGACATGACCTGCAAAAAACATGCATGAATGACGTTTGCTATTAAATGATCGTACGTTGTTTAATGATGCATCCATTATTGGTTGGTTTTTAGCTGGTGCTGCTGGCTCTGAACCATCCGAACCTGTAAATGAGATTGGTGTGGTCGTAAATCACTTGTGTTCGGTTCCAAAAAAGCTTGATTTTGATTTGAGTGAGTTTGAGTGGCTCAAACCATTGAGAAAATCAGATTTGAATATATTAATATTCATGGTAGATTCATAAATATTTTTTATAGTGGACATATATATTAACAACATGAATTTTTCGTACGTGATGAACACAAATAAAATTTTAGGGTGGACATGGTACATTTAGTGAAATATATAACTGATAAAAAGAAATTCGAATTTCAGAATAAGCATTTGTCCATCCTAAACAATACTTACCTCCACCATTTTTGATACTTGACTCAAGTAGTTTGCAAGTTTAATAGACATTGACAAAGTCGAAAACTGCATCATTCTCTGATGTTGTTAGAAATGATTATTTTCTCACGTTTTTATGGACATCCTAGATACCTACGAACTTGTCTAGACATTCTATGTCATTTTATTAATTTAGATTTTTCACTCACGAAATTAAACCTAAAAAATATATCATTTTTTTGGGTTCAATGAGTTTTCTTGGATTTGAGGGATTTATGGTGTCCGTAAAATGCAAATGATGAGAAGAAATATAACTCAAAACTAGCCTCGTCAGACGATCAATGGAGAAATACATTAGAAGATTAAAGATCGAATCTTTCAATGAATTTTCATTGATTTTAATTTTTCTTGAAAATCAACATTTTAGTACTGATCTTATTACGAATGACATCAACAAGGGTAGTGATTACCCAACAATAATGATCAAATGAATTGATGGTTTTATGCAAAAAATGAGGAAGATAATAGTTACATCAACATGTCGCTAATGCTTTAACAACCCAATGATAAAAAATATAAAATTCAAAAAGTTTGTCAAAAATATAAAACTCAAAAAGTTTAGTGGCAAAATGTAAACTTTTAATAACTTAGAGACCGAAAAGAGTCAATGTCTAAAGTTCAGTGACTAATGGTGTAATTTACTTTTCAAAATAAAAGGATAAACTATATCAATTTTTCATCACAAAAAATTCAGAAGAATATTAAAATTACTAGCATTACTGATTTATGATGAAATAGTCACTCAATCACTAATGTGAATTATAAAAGTCTAATGTGATACGTTAAATGTTCTTTTTGACATGATTGTTCCACGTAAGCCTTTTGTTACCATCATCGTTTAATCGAGCCTCACCATTTATCACTCATGCCACCTCCTTTTAATGAATACTAATGACTCAAAAATTATTTCACTATAAATCAATGACGTTAATGACTATAACATAATTTATAAAATTTAATAATCCGAAAAAAGTTACCCAAACATTAGAACAACTTTTGAGGTGCATTTAAAGAAACAGCGAGCAGACAGACAAAGCATGTATTTATTGCCCCAACTGTTTATCATTTCGTTATTTATATTTTGGGCTTTCAAATCATTTACTTTCATCTCATTCCTTTGTTTTTTTCTTACCACTCCTTTATTACCCTCCAAATCAAAGTACAAACAAACCGGTTCAAATTTATTTCAAAGATTTTCTTTCAAAAATTAATAAAAGTCGCAATCAATGAATAATAAAATTAAGGATAATCCTGACACGTTCGACTAACACGGTTAATGATGAGTAATATTAGATTAATTTATAAAACGTTAAATTATAAAGTATTAAACATATAATTATAAATTAGTTAAAAATCTAAATATAATTTAATTAAAACATAATATTTATAAAAAAATAGTTTTTCGGGTAAACTATATCATTGACCACCTAGCTATTTACTCTTTTTACTTTAACTACCAATTTTTTTAATTTTCTCAATCGGATCACCTAACTATTTAAATCTTGTCAATCAAACCACTTGCCGTTAAATATTAACGGATGAGATGACGTGGTAGTTAATAAAATTTGTATAATTATACATTTAATCCTCATTACTTACACATCCTATTTATTTGGTCCTAACTTTTTTTAATTCAATAAATTTAATCTTCAATCTGATGGTGACATGTGTCATTATGTGATTGAATTTTTTTAATATTTTTCATTTAATAAATTTTTCATTCAATCAACTATCGGTGGGGTTTAAACTTGGAACGCAAGCTGAAAAACTGAGTGCCTTAACCATTAAGTTGGACCACTAAATTTGTCTAATATACAAAACACAATCTATATAATTTATAATATAGTTAATGGTAATAAATGACCTTATAAGGACTTCAACATGAAATAATTGAATGGTATGAAAATATAAAAATATATAAACAAATATTATAATTGATTAGTAAATAAATATTTTTTATTTATATTTTAAATCACATTTAATGCAAGAATTAAAATAAAAGTGAATTTAATATGTTATAATTGAAATGTATCATTTTACATATTTTAAATTAATAAATTGTCTTCATTATTCTAGTTTTATTGAATTGAAATGTATCACATCTTATATTTTAAAACATTATAACGTCGATCGGATTATAATCTTATTTAAAAACTCTAAATTAAAATAGACTAATTCAATAAAATCAAGTTTCCCTTAAAATTTCTTCAAATATATAATGAATAAATAATAAAATATAAAATTCTTACTCTAACCTGGATATAAACAAGTCAATGCATAAGTTAAAATGTTTGCTACGATAAGCCTTCAACTATTAGAAAAATTCTAAGTCAACGAAGCTCTTCGTTATATTTCAATTATAATATATTAAAATTATTTTTATTTTTTATTAAAATGATTTAAAATATAAATAAAATACATTCACATATTAATCAGTTATAATATTTGTGTGTATATATATATATATATCATATTATCGTATTATTCAATTATTCCATGTAAGAGTTCTTATTAGGTCATTTTTTATTGCCATTAACTATATATAATATGTTGTGATAGGTTTGTTATTTGAATGGTGCAGCCTAATGGTTTGGATGTTTGCTTCCTCTCCTCATGTATTGGGTTCAAACTTATCCAACAACGGTTATTGATTCAATTTATTTTCTATTCATTCAATTGGTGACACATGGCACCATTTGATTGGATGAAAAATTTATTAAATTAAATAAAAATATTAATAAAAAACATCTAATCACATAGTGACACATGTCACCATCTGATTGATGATTAAATTTATTGAATTAATTAAAAGTTATGATCAAATTAATAAAATATGTAAGTAATGAGGACTAAATGTGTAATTATATAAATTTTATTAACGACCACATCATTTCCTTCGTTAATATTTAACTGCAGGAGGATTGATTGACAAGATTTAAATATTTAGGTTACCCTATTGACAAAATTAAAAAATCGGTGGTTAAAGTAAAAAGGGTAAATAATTAGGTGGTCAATGATATAGTTTTGTAACACCCTCAACCCATACCCGACCCGGATACGAGTCCAGGATGTCACATTGACAATCAAAACAATATTCTAAAAAAATGATAAAACATTTGGACTTATATAACTAAAATACGATAATATACATAGGTTAATACAAGTTTATCAAATTACTCAGAGCATTCACAACTTGACCATTTGATTACATGCCAATATTCATTTACATAACAAAATGACCTATTGATTAAGTTGCTTCTGATCTGATAGTTGCAGGAGTAATGTTGTCCAACTGCTTAACCTGTCTCGTCTACTTTCTCGGATCCTACGTGTGAAACACTCACACGCTAAGTCATCGAATTAGTGAGACAAAATAATAATAATAAGGAATTGTAATGAAAATACCATAATGAGATGAAATGAAGTCATATACTTAATCAATGCAGTTATATCACCATGTTTCTTACCTATAAGCATATTACATTAACATTCATGAATTTGTATTAATAAGTTTATTGGCCCATGATACCATACTGAGAACCTAAGGTATGTGAGTACTGTGAGGTTGTGCACTATGATGTCACCACAACTCGTATAAATGCACCGAAGTGTCACGTAGAATTGCACCGAAGTGCCGAGTAGAATTGCACCGTAGTGCTATATAAGATGTCCCTAAGGACCACGTAGAAAATTCCTTAAGAATCATAGACATATGCCAAGGACCAAATATGTGTCTCAAAAGACCTCATACATGTTCCAAAGAATACATATATATCCCGAAGGACCGCGTAGACCCTCTACTCTTGGCATGCCAACTATACCTATAGTTCTCATCTACATAACATGGGCTTTTCCCAATTTACATAGTATACCACATAGACATATCATTTCTTTACCTTCATCACATGGCTCATATAACTTTGCATACATATTCATTTAAAACATGTTACACAATGCACATAGTATGAATTCATATCATGCATATGCACAATATGAAATGAATCATACATCAATGTATTGAATCTAGACTTCTCACAAGTCTAGATCTGAATATCCCACTATAATCATGTTATGCATATGCACTCACCTATATTTCCTTGCTTTTTCCTCGATCGATCTTATTGGGCAATTGTTCTGGAACTTGTTTAATCTCTGTATCTACATATTAATATATTGATACTTATCAGTATACTAATTATATATTCTAAATTATCATTTCTTAGGTTAAAAGAAAAGCTATTTTCATCTTTTAATAAGGTATGCATCGATGCACTCTACAGTGTATCGATGCACTCCTTAATGTGTGCATCGATGCACTACCCATGCATCGGTACACAAATTACATTCGATGTTTTCTTCTCAAGGGGGTGCATCGATGCACTCCTTATGCATCGATGCATTAATGACATTCGATGTTCATTTATTTGGGATTGCATCGATGCACCCAGAATTGTTATTTTGAGCACGAAAATCTCTTTATAATCCTCTCAACACTTCATAATTCACCTCCTTTTATATCCCTAACTTGCATACACTTACTTAAACTAATTATTATCCATTCAATACCTTTAAAACTTAGAAATCCAATCCTCTATATAGAATTTAAGAATCTCACTCAAATTCCAACATGATCTAAATCTAATTTTGACACCTCATACTTCTTAATTATCTTGATGACAAGTCAAATCCAACTCCAATTCTTATTATGAACTCTATTCTAAGATTTCATTCAATGGCTCTTAACCTTTAATCTCCCCTAACTTCATCATCATTTTATTTTAGGATAACCTAAGCTTTCCTTAAGCTTAGTTATCATTTAATGATTAATAAGCAACCTTAAATTCATCACAAATTTGATCAACAAGAAAACTCACCTTTAGCTTGACTTCATGGTGGAGAAGAAGAGTGAAGAAGAAGAAGAGAAATCTGGAAACTTTGGTTCTCTCCAAAGCTTCTACGTGGGTATAAAATATCATCAACTAATATTTAATTGTTTCCCTTGTTAAAAGACTTATTTACCCCTTTAGTTCCTCCTTTGCTAATTGATCCTACACAAAACATTTCAATCAATTCTTTGAACTTTTCAATTTATCCAATTTGGTCACTGAATTTTTAAATCTCACAATTTAATCACTAACCCGACATGGAGGATGTTACAAGTTTACCCTAAAAACTAATGTTTTATAAACATTGTATTTTAATTAAATTACATTTAGATTTTTAACTAATTTATAATTATACATTTAGTACTTTATAATTAATGTTTTATAAATTAATTTAAAGGTACTCATCGTTAACGGTGCTAATCTACACTCGACAAGTGTTGTAGAATTTTTTTTAAATTAAATATTAAAATAATAATATTTATTCGATTAAATTTTAGTTCAGGATATAAACTCGAATATACATATATGTGAACCTTTTTCAGTTTAAAAATTAGAAGATTATGGATAATTTTGATACTATATAAAAACCAATTAAATCTTTGATTTCCCGTTTAATTATATACTTTAATAAATTATAAAAAATAAACATTAACTTTTTGTAAAATAATGTTAAATGTTGTTGGTAATTGGTAAAAATAATAAAAAAGAGTTACTGATTTTAATTATTTACTATATTAGCGTGTAGACCATAGTTAAAATTAGGGGTGTTGAATAAAATTAAAAATCCTTATATCAGTGTACTACATGATTATATAAAGAATGGATTATTTATAAATAATTATTTGATATACTAATAATGTAGTTTTCTACTATATAGGCGAAATCAAGAAGTCATTATGTATTATATATATGAACTCATCAACTCGTTACGGTGGTTAAAAAAAGTGTTGTTTTCTTTAGAGGTCTCGAGTTCAAGCAGTTATGTCTATGGGTGTGTTGTCAATACCTAAGAAATTTTTTGAACCGATACTATTTTAAAACAATCACTCTAGACTATTAAAAAAATGAAATCATTATATATCTCATATTTATCATTATATATTATCTCATTTATTTGAGAACATAACTAGCTGAGTTTTTCTTTTGCCTCCATGACATGTTTTCTTATGTCTTTTGATATTTGTTTTGATCGACCGATCATTGTTTTTGTTTATTTTTTTTTCAGAGTTGGACTTGACATCGTCAAGACTGATCAAGATGGAGCTTATTTGTTACCATGTTGATATTTCTTGCTTTGGGCCATTAAATTGGATTTGGATACATGATTTGCGTTAATAGATAGTTTTCTCTCGTTGCTCGACTCTGATTTATAATTTGTTAGTGTTCTTTTAGTAACTTGATTCCCTTACGTGATTCATTTACCGATACGGTCCGATCTCTTCATATCTATATTTTGTTTGAATTTTTATTAGGTTTTTATTATTTTACTTGTATGGTCATTGTGTGATCTTAAGTGACTAATTTATTGTGTCAATTATTATAGAAAAATGTCATAATTATGTGATTAGTTTAGGATTATGATTATGAACATTTATTATAATTATGGATATTTTCTCTTTCTAATAAAACTAGCAGCTTCTATAAAAAAAACCTATATAAAACATGTATTATTACTTCTTTCTGATTTGATCAGATGTACCCGAAGAAATTATTATTGTTAATAAAAAAAATTAAAGGTGCTAAAATGAAAAGATGAAGATCCGATTCAGTCTATATAAAAGATGTATTATTATTTCGTTCTGATTTTAGCAGATGTCTCCGAAAAAACTATTATTGTTAATAAAAGAAACTAAAGGTGCTAAACGTTGTCTGTCAATGAAACTGATGAGAAAAGTTTGTGCTTTGCCATTGCAAAAACTGATACACTTTCGATACTTGGTGGTTAAATCATGTGGTGAAGATGGATGCTCTTGAATCAGCTCCCCTTACCAAATTGCCTGAAAATGTGTTCCTATTCCATTTCAGGTTTTTGTGAAGCAGAAGAGGTCATCCTAAACTTATGTTTTGTTGTTTTGAAGAATCATCGTTTGGTTTGTGTTTTGTTCATTCAGTAACATTTTCAAGTTAAATGTTTGGTTTAGGTGACATCTTTCTCAATATGTTGCTATTGCTTTCTTGGTTTGTACAATATTATTTGCTATCATCATTCTCTCAAACATTTGTTGTAACATTGGGTTAAATTAGTGTTGTTATATAATAAATGTTTCATGCAATTGAGGGTGGACACATGTCCACTCTAAAATTCGAATTTTCTTTGATTATTTACTTGTTTTATTAATTGTGTCTATCTTAAAATTTTATTTGTGTCTATCTCATACATAAAATTTACGTTATTAATACATGTGTCGACCCTGAAAAATATTTATGGATTCATTATTGATTTATGGCTTAATTAGTGTTGTTATATAATACATGTTTTATGTTTCATGGGTTGGTTAAAGCAAACGCAGATGGCGCTGCAAGGCCGAGCGATGACGCTGCTGCTTGTGGAGGTATCATAAGAGATGAACGTGTCTACCATCTGAATTTTTTATATTAGTTATCTATTTTGATAATGATATCCACTCTGAAATTTTTTTATGCTCACCCCACACAAAAAAATTATATTATTAATATATATGTGCACACCCTAAAAAATATTTCTAGATTTGCCACTATCTAGATTGAGGGATGATTTTACCCATCACATCCAAGCATTGCCTAATCTTTTACAACTCTGACTACTAACTGCATACGAGGGAGAGCGATTAGACTTCCTTGAAGGATTTCAAAAGTTAAGATTTTAAGAATTGGGGGATGTCCTCGATTGAAAGAAATTGTGATCAACAAAGGAGCGATGCCTTCTCTTCAAGAGTTGTTTATCATTGAATACCAAGAGTTAACGACACTGCCGCATGGTTGGGAAAGTCTACCTCATTACACCATGTTTATCCTGGGCTTATTCATAAAATATGCAGATCAAAAGGGATTAGTCGACAAACAATCACAGTCATGGTGTTAGGTAGACAAGGAGGCTATGAAGCCATATCCAATATAACGAGATGTTGGTTGTAGAGGTAAGTAGAACTTTATATCATAGCCCAAGCCTTATTCATTCATTCAGTTTGACTGACTGGAAATGTATCCCTTCTCCATTTCAGGTTATTATAACCAGAGCAAGCATCCTTAGCTTTATGTTTTGAAGAATGTTTTGTGTTTTGTTCATTCTGTCACATTGACATCTTTCTTATATGTTGCTATTGATTTCTTGGTTTGGATAATATTATTTGCTATCATCATTCTCTCAAACCTTTGTGATAAGATTGCATAATATAATTAAGCAGAGAGCATCCCTGAAACCTTGTTTTTTTGCCAGAGCAAATTTCCCGATTATTACTGATAGAGTGGCTCAGGTGGAAGAATGGATTGATCATAGGGTGGGGGAGAGTCTTGAGCCTGTACAAGGTTCAAGTCACAGAATTTGAACCCTCATTCTGTCCAAGCTCCATTTGGGCAGATGATTCGTTGTTAGAGGGGGAATGAGGCAGATTCAAAATCGGTAAACAATGGATCGGAAGAGAAGGATGAGCTCTGTCAGCGTATCGTAATAGTGAAAATTCATCTGTCCGAAACGTAGAGTCATCTTCACCGTCGGCGTCAAGATTCAAAGGAGTGGAAGAGTCGATTCTGGCAACTAGGGCTTAAAACAAGTTGATGATTGATGGTCTAGTGACAAAACTTGTGTGGTTTTCAAGTTGATTTATACTATTTCAAGGTTCAATCCCTCTATTCGTAGTCCATTCCCTCTTATGATTGTAATGTAATTACTCATATAAAAAAACAAATATTTATAAATATTCGGATCCGTACCATTTATTATCATCTTCAAAATTTTGTAAAAAGATTAAAGAGGAGAGGAAGACATCTTGATAATATGAATGCATGTAAACTTTAAAATGGACTTGATGCAAAGACATCAACATTGGTCCACCACATGGGAATCAAATGCCCCATTGAATGCAAAAGGGAAAATTCCCTATCTTGCATTTGTCAATTTTGTATTAAACATCAATTCAATTGCATAATGAGATCGAAAAAGAGTGATGGGATGATATTTTTATCGATTGATTTTTTTCCGAATAGTATGAAATAATTACAAAATAAATGTAATTGAATTCTCTAAAAAAACATTTCGTTTAATTATTATGGCCATTCAATAGATAATTGTACTTAAGCGAATTCGAATATACCAACTCCACGTATACATTAATCTACTGTTTCTAAAGCTGAAGGCACCCCATAATTTAGGCTACTTTCTTCATAGCTTGATAGTTTCTTCTTCTAAACCAATCTATCCAATGATCAAAGACCCAAACTATGCTAACCAATATTGCAGTCACAATTACAATCATCCAAGAAATCCAAGCCCATACAGGGATCGGATTCTCATCCTTAATATAAAAGACCCCCATTTTATACACAAAGAAAGGTCCAATGATTCCCCTAACAACGGTGTAAAAGGCATAGAACGGAAGAGACAAAACGTCGAACACCTTACCTGCAACGGGAACATCAGCTCTCTGGAACCCGCAGATGGTCCATACGTTTTGACAAAGGCTGGTGACTTCAGCGAGGATCAGAAGCACGAGAAGGGCGAACGACCCACGGTGGACGATGAAACGGCAGGTGATAAACACGTAAAGGGTCGCTAAATGGTGGAGGATGAAGAGAGTGTCGTTCGGAAAAAGGATTAAGTAATGGAGAAGGTCGACTAAGAAGTAAGAGATGCTGAATTCGAGGACAGTGTTGTGGGAAAGTGAATTAGGAGCTGCTAAAGTTGGGTATTGGGTGTTTGTTAATGCGTGAATCGCCATGAAAACTGCTGGGGTTCCATGTGTTAATGAGATGAAACAGCTTGAAGCTTCGGCTCGGTGCTTGGGATCCCAATGGTGGAAAACCCGGAAGTAAGCGAAGAGATAAATGAAGATAAACATCAAGAAAAATGAAGGTAAACTGAGGGTTTGAAAGGGTGATAAAATCTCCATGGAAACACAGTTTCAATAGGTAAATTATTTAGTGATGATGAAAAGGAATACCAGGGTGAGATTTGTACTTAAAACGAGAGTTTGGAATCTTGTAGACTTGTACTTTGCACCTAATTATGATTTTAGTTGGTTTATTACATTAATATTTTTCTATGAAAAAATTCCCGTGTTCGATAACTACATAAATTCCTATTATTGATTAAAAATAATCTTAAATTTCAATTAATAAATAAATTTATTGTTGATTAAATATAATTTTATAATAATAAAAAACGTAATATCATAATTTAACGGTGGAAGTTATCAATTGGATTCATTTCCAACATTATAAAAGGAGAGTACTCGAATAAAATTAAAGTATATGGATTAAATTTTAAAAGTTTTAATATAACGGGACTAAAATCATAGTTAAACCATCAGTTTCATAAGATGCCGATAGGTGACTAATATCAAAGGGCTACTAACTGTGCGTTTCCGCTTGCTTAACGTAGGGGAAACCAGGTGCGTACACGTGACTAACATTAGTGAAAAATATCTTATATTTTTTTAATTGTATTGGGTTAGTAATTTATTAAAAACTATTGTTTATGTATACATATTATTTTTATATTATTAATTTATATTATATTTTTAATTATCCAAACAATAATAAGTGGAATGAACAGTTGGTGTGACAACTCTTTACAATAGCTGAGGTTGATCAGATTCTTTCGATACCTCTCCCCTCGAACGAGATGACTGACTGCAAGGTTTGGAGTGGGGAACGGACCGGGTTGTATATTGTCCGAAGTGGGTATCGCCTGCTGTTTGGTGATGGCACTATTCTTGTCCAAAATGCGGTTGTATCACCACATTTGGGCTAGTAACTATCAACGAAAGATTAAGTTGCAAGGGTGGAAGTTTGTTCATAACCTAGTTTCGTCCATGCAAAACCTCTATGCTCGACGGATTGTGTCTAACCCTCATTGCCCTAAGTGTCCCTCCTAATCTGAATCTATTGAGCATATTCTACGATAGCGTCCACTATCTAGAACGGTATGGTTCAAACTAAATGTGCATTGGTCGGCTCATGGTATTAATTGGACTATTAATAAGTGGCTAAGCTGGCTCCTTGATAACACACAAGCATCTGTTCAGGGGACTATCTTAACAACATGCTGTGCTATTTGGTATGCTAGAAACCAATCCTATCATGGGGGAAAACATAGCTCAGCTGATGAGATTGTTGGTTTTATTCGCTCCCATTGTCACGAGTTTGAAACAATGCACCAACGAATTCAAACTCCTCCTGATGCCCCTGCTCGTTGGCATCCCCCACCTCCTTTGATGGTTAAATCTAATTTTGATGCTAGCTTCACACAAACAAGAAATATTGGGTGGTTAGGCATCATTGTTAGAGATTGCAACGGACATGTCTTAGGTGCTTGCCGAAGCCGTCTACGGAAGTTACGTCGGCTTTCGCAACTGAAGCGTTGGCGGTTGTTCATGCCCTTAAATTAATTGCTAATTTAGGGTTTTCTCATGCTGTTATTGAGGAGGACTCAAGATCGGTGATCCTTCGGTTAGCTTCCACGGAGATGGATTTATCGGAGATTGGGGCTTATATATGGAAGGGTCGTTGACTGTCAACTTCTTTGCATGCTTGCTCATTTATCTACATTGCGCGCCATGGAAATCAAGCTGTCCATTTACTTGCATCTGTTGTATTGAAGACTGAGGAGGGTCGATTTTGGGTTGAGGAAACTCCTCGACAAGTGATGATTCAGATCGAGGAAGATAGGCATTGGCTCGACCCTCCCTATTCTAACTGGGTTGATGTGTTTGTGAAGGCTCTAATTTTCCAGATTTTCTACTCTTTTGTTAGGCGTTCGTTGTGTCATCTTCTGCAAGTGAGGGTGTTGGTTGCCTTGCTACAATGGTGAATTTGCTTTTGTTTCTTGTTTGGCTTCCTGCTTTTGCTAATTCTTTTTATTCGATTTGTGGAATACAACTAGACTGCTTGGGCATTATGTTTTTTTTCTTAATAAAGCAACCAACACTTTTAATCAAAAAATATTATATTTTTTTGATTAATTTTATTTTTAAACGGTGTAGTGTACAGTATTTTTACGATCATAGTGATCGACAATGGCAACGAAAAAGTGTTCAAATAATCATAAAAAAATAAATTATTATAGAACACTAATAAATATAATTTAATATATAAAAATTGTAGACAAATTATGAAGAAATTTAAATATAGTTACATAATGACTCATAATATTAAGTTAATTAAAAATAATATTTTTACGTAATATATAAATTATTATATATAACATCATCACTTATTTTTATATATATAAAAAATAGTGTCACGTCAATTCTTTAGCCATATATAATGTACCACGTGCTTTGAACACATATAATGTGCTATGATAATAACAAACATTAACTATTAGTCAACTAATAGTTATAATTCAATTATGGATCATTTTGACTCAAAAATAAATATGGGTGGTTCAAGTGCAAATAACTTGATATGTTATTTATTATTTATTTTATAATATATTTATTATTCTAAATTAAATTTATGTGTTGATTAAAAAAATGTGATATAAATAAATTCTTATAAATTAAAAATTTTAAAAATAAATTGAATCGAATTAAGTGACCAAAACGGAATAAAACTTAAGTTTAATGATGATTTTGAAAGAATAAAATATTCGATGACCTAGATGAAACTATATAATTAGTTATATAATTTACTCTTACTATTTTCAACTGAGTTAACTGTTTGAGGTAAATGGGGTGGTAATTTAAACTTAGATCAAACGTCTTGAAAAATATTTTTAAAGACAACTCCTTGCAAATGACATAGTTTATAGCGTAATGGTGCATTTAAGCCATAAATAAACATATGGGGTTGGGTCGTGCAGGAAAAAAAACAGCCCGCCCCGTTGCCATATCAAGTACAAATAGATGAAACCTACCCTTCAGTCTCCCATGTCATCACCATCTGCTGAAGTGAGCAAGTTTCAGCATCCTTCAAAGGGTAAGTAAGACTTCAATTTTTTTCCTCCTTGTATCCAGTGTTCGCACCCCAAGTTCGAGTAACATAACCCTATATTCTTCGTTATCATTAGAGATCTCCATTGCACTTAAATCTTCTTTTTTTCTTACTTAGGGAAATGGTTCCAAACCCGAAGAACTACAAGAAATAGTCAAAGCTGGAGCAATGGGATTGAAGCTGCAGGAAGATTGGGGAACTACGCCTGCTGCAATAGACAATTGTTTGAATGTTGTAGAACAACATCATATCCAAGTCAGACAAACAAGAACGCCAATTTTTTTTTTTTTTTTTTTTTTACATTTTTAACGATAAACTCGTTTTTATATCGATTGGTTTTTGGCAGGTTATTCATACTGATACCTTGAATGAATCTGGATTTGTTGAACACACAATTGCTGCATTTAAAGAAAGAACCATTCATGCTTGTCACAGGTATGAACTCATGTCTCCCACCTCCCGACTATCGAATAAAAATCTGGATCGGAGATCAAACCAGTCAAACTTCTGCATTCTGGTTTACGGTTGAGCACAATCTATATGGATTATGTGTGTGAGTTGCCTTCAGTGTAAAATGGTCAATGCTAATGGCTTTAAATTTTAGCTTGAATTCAATGCTATTTGAGTATAAATATCTTTCTAATTTCAGAAGTAGTTAAGAATTCTATTGTCTCTTAATTTTCGATTAGCTGTTAGGTTCAGTTCATTGATGTTCATGATTGATGTAATTTTTGGCAGTGAAGGTGCCGGCGGTGGTCATGCTCCGGATATCATCAAAGTGTGCGGCCTTAAAAACGTCCTCCCCTCATCAACTAACACGACACGCCCTTATACTTCCAATACCGTAGATGAACATCTTGACATGCTGGTATGAGAAGATAACAGTGATGTTACTTTAAGTCTTGAACTCGGTGAATGTCGGTATGCTCGATTTTTTTGTAAGTTTTTCCGTTCTCATGCATTCCTATCTTTGCAGATAGTTTGTCATCACCTCAACAAAGACATTCCTGAATATGTAGCGTTTGCGAAATCAAGGATTAGGGTGGAAACCATTGCTGCCGAAGACATATTGCATGATATTGGGGCAATCAGCATTATATCTTCTGGTTCGCAGGCTATGAGTCGCATCGGCGAGGTTTAATTCTAGATTCTAATTCTCTTATTTCTCATTTTGCATATTTCTTATTTTGCATGTGCTTATAAGAGACAACTTGGAAATTCCAGGATCTAAATGAGGAAATAAGTTCATATTCTTTGTTTCCAGGTGATAAGCAGAACTTGGCAAACCGCGGACAAGATGAAATCACAAAGGGGTCCACTTAATAGCGAACTAGCTTCCAATCTAAGAATCAAACGGTACATTGCAAAATACACCATAAATCCAGCCATTGCTAATGGCATTGCAGAATTCGTCGGTTCGATCGAGGTATATCATTTTCTTTGTATAGATGTCAAAAACATCCACCTCTATAGATGACGATTGCATTCATAATCGTTCGATGGAGCAAATTCGTGCGAAATCCGTTGGCTCTGGATTTTTGTCACTAAATTTGACTTACATTGGCAATATATGAGTTTCATCTTTCAGGTGGGAAAGTTGGCTGATCTTGTTTTATGGAAACCGGCCCTTTTTGGGGCGAAACCTGAAATGGTAATCAAAGGCGGTGTTATTGCTTGGGCTAACATGGGAGATGCTAATGCAAGCATACCAACACCCGAACCGGTAAAATTTCGATTCATACATCTATAGATGCCGTTGTTTGTTTTCGACTCATATTTAGACATGAGCTCAAAGATATGACTCTTCAAATACATGAAAAAGTTTCTCAAAACATGGATACATACTTGTAACCGATAATCGCATCCGAATGTTACGAGATTAATCAAAGAAGCCTAGTTAAGCACTTTTATTAAGGATATTTGTAGTCACAGGTGTTATCAAGGCCAATGTTTGGAGCATTCGGCAAGGCTGCAAGTGCTAACTCCATCGCTTTTGTCAGCAAGGCATGAATCTCTCTCTCTCTCTCTCTCCATATATGTATATATAATTTTTGGATGAATTTATATTGACGTGTGTGATTAAAATTTTATAATTCCATTTTTTCCGTGAAATTTAAGAAAGAAAAATGACAGTGTTAATGCACAAAACTGTAATCTCAATTATCTATTTAGATTCATCCAATGATATTTTGAATAAAAATAAATATTTTGAATTTTATCCAAACGGATTCTTTTCCAATAAAATCTGAATTGAAACTAGACCAGACATTACCGTTAAATTTGGTTTTAGGATTTTCTCGGTTTCAACCATACAAGATAAACAAGTAGTCTTATTAACCCTTTTGAAAAACAGGCTGCTTTAGATAACGGAGTTAAGAGTCGTATGGACCGAAGAAGAGAGTGGAAACTGTCCGCAATACCATAGGTCTAACCAAGCCTGACATGAAGTTCAATGATGGTCTCCCACAGATCGACGTAGATCCCGAAACATACGTCGTGAAAGCCAAAGGTGAGAGTCTCACTTGTGGTCCTGTGAGTCTGTGACGACGGTTCCCCGCTCTCGGAATTGTTTCCTCCTCTAGAAAACGCTCTAAAACTGTCCAAAACATTGTTTCAATCTTTTCCGTTTCATTAGTCTGTTCCTTTCCGTTCCATTAGTCTGGTTGTTAAACGGAGTTTAAATTTGACATTACAACTTTCATGCTCAAGTAAACTTGATTAAAACTTTACTAATAATTTAAGAACTCAATTCAAATTTTTGAAATTTGAGAACCAATTCAAAATCTAAACATAGTTTGGGAGTTTGGGTGCAATTAACTTATTGATCAATGAATATGAGGGGGAGGATAAAGTATGTAAGACGACCATGTCCTAGCTATTCCGTAAGGTTGGACAAAGGTCTAATTATAGTTTCAGCTCCTCTACTATCTTGAAATTTGAGATTTAATCCCTCAACTTTAGTTAGACGATTTAATCACTAGCAAATCCAAACTGATAACATTAGTAGCTGCTGCAGTTCAAGTGATAGACTTGAAACTTTCAAAACTGCTTCAAGCAATCGGATGATAGGCAAATTTAATATTGGTTAAACATGATTGATTGAATTTACACGTAGTCTCAACTCTGTGATGTGGAAAAAATTTATGGCCACTTTGACGACAGCAACTAACATGGTTATCAATTTAGTCCTGCTAATAACATCATAAAAACAGACAGACCAAATAATATTACCAAAGTAAACTGATTAAATCCTGAGTTTCAGTACTGTTGAAAACTACAAACGAAAGATATAGAAAATCTAAGAAATTGTAATAGACCAAAGTTTGCACGGTACCTCTACTCAGCCTGAAGGGACAACTAATTGGAAGTTAGATAAAATCCACAATATGCAGGTAACTTCCTCAACCTGCTTGCTTTGAGACTGCAGTTACATTCACAGATATGTTATAAAGGATTCCAAAGCTAATTATAACTTGAATCACTTAGACCACAAGTGAAATATATATACCATTTTCCCAGAAAACCTAAAGGTCATGTTAAGCATAAAGACAAAATTGAATCAATAATCCGTCAAGTGCTGGTCTACAATTTGGCTAGACCAGATAAAAAGGGCATAATATGAAATAACAAATCCTGAACATATTGTCACAGGGAAGAGAAACATTTGCAACATCTCAACCCTTCAAAGCTTCTTTACAACACAGGAAAATACTGTACTAAAAACCCATAAACATGGCGTTCTTATAGCAGCTATTTCAGGTCATGGAAACACTCCTTCACTATCTCCAACACGGTTGGAAACAATAATCCCATAAGATTAAGAAACAAACCTGGTTGGCACTGCAATTTTCATACAGCAAAGGCAAATCCCTCATAGATGGATAATATTTACCTAAGCCCATAAAACATTCCACAGACAATTAATAAATTACCTTTGATGTATAATGGTTACTGTCCATTTCTTCATCAATGAAAGGCAAAGAATGTCCTCCCCACTCCACACCGTCTCTTGCAAACACAATGTCAATATTAAAAAAGATGAAACTGACAGTAGGAAGAAGCTGTATTTTTTAGTATTCAAAACCAGCTATAAAAAGAAGGTTTACATAGTTCCAACAAAATATGTTACACAAGTCAGCTGAAACTAATTTCTAAAACAAAAAGAGGCTGATATGCCACACCTTGCAATGCAAGCAGTGTCATATGCATTTTCAACTGATGAACAAAGCTGGGAATCAAATTAACATGCAAAGCATCTGGCTCAAAGGTAAGAGGCAAACAATATCTCCAGCCAAATCATCAGTGCCTGCTAAAAAACAGTAAGAATGATCTTCTGAAAACAAAGTTAGCAGTTTCCGTTGAATGCATCTCTCACCTCAATAATGACCCTCTAACAAAAATTTGAAAAATCTAAAACATGAAGATCAAATGGCACTGATGAATGAACTTTCTTAGCAAAACAAACCACCAGTCCCCAATTACCCTTGTTGCCACTCCTTACGTTGCTCATGCAAAGGATCTGGACTCTTCAGCATTTTTCTCATTCGCCTAACATGGTGCAAAAGACCTTATCTAAGAATTTAATAATAAATAAAACCCAAATTACAAAATTAAAACAGCACCCATGATGTCTTTTTTTTTCTGTTGCTCAATACCTGTCTTGAGCATGTTGGGCAGGGAAAGTGGGCATGAAAGCTTTATTCTTGGGAAGGGGAACTTCGCGAAACCACTCATGGTTAAGAGCATCTTCAGCTGTTATACGCTGAAGGTGATATCAGAAGGCTCAATTAATCATACAGAAAAGGAATAATGACAAGGTAACTCAAATAAATACGCAAGCCATGTTACCTTATCAGGATCATATGTAAGAAGTGTATTCAGCAAGTCAAATCCAGCATCAGAGAGAACATGTGTACCAGTGAATGATGTGGCCGGGAACTTTTTGCGCAATAGATTATACCTGAAAGGAAATTTATCAGTCATTAATAAAATAAAAAATTAATGCTTTGTTATTGACTGTCACCAATGGAGGCCAGAAAGCCAGAACAGAATCACCCAAAGCAAAACAGTGGGAAAATAAGACACCGTGAATATTACACTCAAAAGAATCTAAAATCAAATTATATAGATTTAATACTTACTGATGCTTGACAAAGTTGACCTTGACACCAGGCAACTTTGAAAAACCAGGCCATATTGTCTCATTTGGTGTGCCAAGTGTTCTAAAGATCCGCAATTAGTAAAACCCATGCAACAAATCCAAGATCATTAACCACCATGTGCAGATTGAATTATTCAAGAAATAGTACATCTTGATGGTAATGATTAATAAAAAGTAAGACCAACTACTTCAGTTCACCTTGTCAAGTTGATCAAATTCAGTTTTCCCACTGAAAATAGTTTTTTTTTTTATAGGAATGGCAGCCTCGTTAAAATCTCCCCTTCATGATTAATGGATCACAAGGTGCTCTTAATCAGCGGAAGGAGAAAAGAGTGTCTAAAAATTCATTGATAACCGCAAGTTACATAAAACTTAAAAACAACCATACAGTCTCCCTTTACAAATAACCAACCTAGAGCCTAAATGATAACCTAACCAAACCAAAACAATGTATCTAGCCAATACCATCCTTTGCTAAACTATCAGCCTCAACATTGGCTGACCTAACAACCCATCTAATAATACCATTCAAACCTCTAAACTTAGCAACAATATTTGTCACTAAGTCTATGTAGACATAGGGACAGCATCGTTGTTCTTGACCCAATCCACTGCTAATTTACTGTTAGATTCAACGATTAAATGTTCCTTAAAACGTTGCTGAATCGAAGCAAAATAGGATAAGCCCTTCTTAATTGCCTTAAGATCTATCAAAATATGCCGACTTGGACCAGCAGCCTCTTGGAAAAAACCCACTACCGAGCCATCCTCAACTCTTAGAATGCCCCCAAATGCCACTTTTCCTCCAATCTGCAGTCACAGCCGCATCCACATTCAACTTTATAAAGCCCTTTGGAGGATGAGACCAAGACACAATTTTGATAATAGGAGAGCTTGAATAAGATCAACAATCCCCAAGTGATGGATCACTAATGAGAGAGTCCTTAGGAATAGATACATCCTTGAAGTTAGCTAAGAACCAAGCAACCAACCTGCATCTTGTCATAAAAAATAGATCAATCTGATCTAACCTCCCCCCATCGAGCACAATGCATTCCTATAATTCCAAATTGTCCATAGAACCACTCCCGGAATGAAGGACCAAATTTTAGAATTAGGTACCAAGTCTTCCCAAGCAAACAAAAATTTTGAGCATTGGCTTGAAAAACTGAACAAACTCCCTAAAAACTCAAAAATTTATTCCATAAGGACCACGCCACAAAGCAAGTAAAGAATAAGTGTTGAGGATTCATCCACCTTTTTACATAAAGGGCAAGCAGCGTCAACAATAGCTGAAACTCATCTCCTCTATAACTTGTTTTATGACAATCTCTGATGCACCACCTGCCACATAAAGACCTCCACTTTCGGAGGCACTAATCCCCTCCAAACGTACTTCATCCAAAAAGAGTTTGATGTACTAACAGGACAGCATAACTTCACACTCGAATTGACAGTATATACTCCTTCCCCATTCCCTCTCCAAACCAACCCATCTGAAAACTCATGTGAAAAGGTGATATTGTGAATTAATGCCATTAAATCATTAAATCAGAGAACTGATCCAGTTCCCAATCACTCAAATTCCTTCTCATTTGAACATACCAAGACCAAACTGAAGACCGAAACTCCCCAAACTCATTAAGCTTCCCATTCTTGTTTAAAGAAAGAACAAACATTATCAGGAAAACCACTTTTAGAGACCACATGTCAATTGCGGTGGAATATTGTCTTGCTCCAAAAGTTTGGTGCCCTGCAAAACCAACCAATATAGAGAAGTCCTAACAACTTGAATCTCGAAATATAAATGCTGAAATAATTAGTCAACCAAACTTAAGACAAACTTACAGTGCAAAAGCAAAACCCTCAAAACTTTACAAATTTTAAAACCATCCATCACTCTAATGCATATGGGGTTTGAGTTTAAAAAAGTTTACAAAAAGGGAAGTCCAAAAAACAATTTCATTAAGTCAAGTTTGTACTTTTTTAAAGCTTTCTCCAAGGAACTGTTACCTTAAGACTTAATAAGTTTTTCTATTCAGCATTTAAACAGATAACAATAACAAAAAAAGGGATGTTTCTCTCAATAATCAACATTAAACACTTGCATACCCAAATTCACATTTCAGAATTATTTTCCACACACCCAATCACAAACAGCTTATGAAATCATAATTTATAATGATGAAAAAAAAAAAAAAATAAGTCATATAATTTATTTCATCAATAAATATGAAGATTAACACATTTAGGGAAGTGATCAATGGCATGCATATCTCACATGTAC